CTGGGGGTGCGGAGCCTGGGGGTGCGGAGCCTGGGGGCGCTAGGTCTGCTCGTGTGACCGCCGGCGGTGCTTTGTCGAGGCGGGAGCCACTCTCTCCGCAGGAGCTGCGCGAGTGGTTTGCCCGGTGCTCGAGCCATGCTGCTGGAGCTGGAGGCACTACTGTTGCTGCTCGTACTGGCGGTGCTGGAGCTGCTGGGCATGGGGGTGCTGCTGGGGCTACTGGAGTTGGTCCTACTATAGCTGCTGGCGGTACTGGAGCTGGCGGTCCTGCTGGAGTTGGTGCTGCTGGAGCTGCTGGAGCTGGAGCTGCTGGGGGTGTTGGCGCTGGTGGTTCTACTGGCGGTGGTGCGTCTGAGGGTGCTGGAGTTGGCGCTGTTGGAGCTGGAGGTGCTGCTGGCGCTGGTGCTGCCACTAGGGGTACTGGTGCTGTCCCTGCTGGTTCAGGAGGAGTTGCGCGGCCGCGGCCGAACTTCGTTCCGCTCCTTGAGCAGGTTCTTGGTCTCCCGCCTTCTACTGGTCCTGCTCCTCCCTTAGAGTGTCTACACCCTGTCCAGTGGCAGTCACAGTTACAGCCCGCCTCCCCTCTACCTGCTCCTTCTCCCTACACTGCTCCTACTAGAGGTCTTGCTGAGCGTCGGGAGCCTGCGTCTCGTCGTGCGTCGCCTGTTCGTGCTGCTCGCGCTAGTCGTCGTGCTCCGCGTCCTCCTGCGGTCCAAGGCACACACCGGATGGCACTGCGTCCTTCCAGTGCTCCTCTGCGTGTCCCGTTGCCGTCTCCTCTAGAGTCCTCTCTTCCTGTTCTCCCTGACCCGGCCTCTGACTCTCTTCGTGCTGCCAGTCCTACTGTAACGCGTCTCCTCGCCAGTGTTGTCACTGACCCTTCCTTTGAGTCCACTGCTGCGTCTGCCTTAGTGGCTGAGCTTGTCGACTTTGCTGCTCGCTGTCGTCTAGACTACGCCACTAGTCTTGTTGCTGAGTCCAAGTCTGTCTGTCCTCCGTTCGACGGGGGTGGGTGTGCTCTTAGCACGGACGACCTTGAGGACAGGCAGGAGGAGTTCCAGTGTTTTGCTGCTACTTTGCCTCATCTCGTGTCCACGCTGATTGCCCCTGAGGGAGACCCGGATGCACCAAACATCCCGACTCCTCGATCGTACGCTGAGGCGATCGAGGGTCCCTACTCCTCTCAGTGGCAGTCAGCCATGGACGCAGAGATGGCTTCCTGGAAGTCCACAGGCACCTACGTCGACGAGGTTCCCCCACCTGGGGCGAACATCGTCAATGGCATGTCGATTTTCAGGGTGAAGCGGCCGCCGGGTTCTCCGCCTGTCTTCAAGGCGCGTTATGTGGCTCGAGGCTTCAATCAGCGGCAGGGAGTTGACTACTTTCAGACCTTCTCTCCCACCCCAAAGATGACCACTCTTCGGGTGCTGCTGCACATAGCCGCTCAGCGCGACTACGAGCTTCACTCTCTTGACTTCAGCACAGCTTTCCTGCAGGGCAGCCTGCACGAGGAGATCTGGCTGCGCCGCCCACCTGGCTTCACTGGGTCGTTTCCTCCTGGTACCCAATGGAGCCTCAGGCGGCAAGTCTACGGTCTCCGCCAGGCGCCCTGTGAGTGGCACGACACACTGAGGACCACACTTGCGGCTCTTGGGTTTGCTCCTTCTACAGCCGACCCGTCGCTGTTTTTGCACACCGACACCTCTTTGCCGCCGTTCTACATCCTCGTGTACGTCGACGACTTGGTCTTTGCCACTGCTGACACTGCTGGACTCGCCCACGTGAAGTACGAGCTGCAGAAGAGACACACGTGCACAGACCTGGGTGAACTGCGCAGCTACCTTGGCTTGCAGATCACCCGGGACAGAGCACAGCGCACCATTACCCTGACTCAGTCACACATGGTGCAGCAGGTCCTTCAGCGCTTCGACTTCACGTACTCCTCGCCTCAGGCCACTCCTCTGTCTACTCGCCACTCGCTCTTAGCTCTGCCTTCGGATGAGTCCGTAGAGCCGAGTGGCCCGTACCTAGAGCTTGTTGGCTGCCTCATGTACCTGATGACCTGCACACGACCTGACCTTGCATACCCTCTTAGCATCTTGGCACGCTATGTTGCTCCTGAGAGACACCGACCAGAGCACATGGCTGCAGCGAAGAGGGTGTTGCGCTACTTGTGCAGTACGTCGGGCATGGGGCTAGTGCTTGGAGGGCGACGTCGAGTGGTCCTCACAGGTCACGCAGACGCTTCTTGGGCTGACTACCAGTCGACACAGCGGTCGTCACAGGGTTACACCTTCAGCCTTGGCTCCGGCTCTGTTTCGTGGCGGTCTACCCGCTCGTCTTCTGTTCTCACCTCTAGCTGTGAGGCTGAGATCTACGTGGGGGCCATGGCTGCACAGGAGCTACGCTGGCTCACCTACCTGCTGACTGACCTAGGAGAGCCGCCTCGTTCTCCTCCAGTTCTGTACGTAGACAACAAGGCCATGCTGGCCTTGTGTCGAAAGCACAGACTGGAGCACAGAACGAAGCACATTGCTCTTCGCTACTTCCTGGCTCGTGAGCTGCAGCAGCGTGGTCAGCTCCGCCTCACCTACGTGGCCTCTGAGGCCAACACTGCTGATATCTTCACCAAGGCCCTTCCGCCTTGTGATCATCAGCGCTACTGTGCTATGCTAGGTCTTGTGCCTACTTGGCCTCACTTGCTCACTTCTTGATCTTGTTTGTACTGTACTCTTCCTATACCTGCACTTGCTTGTTTACCTTTATATATATGATCTTGCATGTGAATTGGCCTTGTGGCCTTGCTCTTGTGCTCGGACTGTGTGGTGACGTTGTGATCCACCCTGAGCTTGCTTTGCTTTGCTTGACTGGTCTTGTGACCCCTTGTTCTCCCCCACTTTGCCTATGGGGGTGTGTCAGGCATATATGCTATAGTCTGTGTAGGCTGTAGTGGGGCAGTTCATATGGGGTACAACACTTTAGGGTTTACCACTTGTACTCCTCATTCTGCTCAATGCATTCATTCCTCGTTTCTTATCACGACGCACGTGACGGCGGACGGGATTGCACCAGCGTATGGCTATTTCAAGTTCTGGCCGGACCGGATCACCATCGCACTGCTGCAAGGTCGACGGGACCTCATCACCTGGAGGGAGTCGATAGAACCTCAGCTGGAGGTCGCCAGGCTGAAGGGCTTCGCCGACGGCACTGTGCCAATTCCGCCCGTGGTCGATGTCGAGCTGCGCGGGGAGTTTCGTGCGGCTCACTTGCACACCTTCATATTTATCTCAAGGTGTTGCTCGCCGGTGGTGCAGCTGGCGCTCAGGAGTTGTTGAGAGCGACTTCATCCTGTCGACGTACCACGTCAGGGGCGACCTGTACATCGGACAGTTGGAGGAGAAGATGACGCACATTCGGATGGGCGAGCAGGAGTCGGCGTCGCACTACTAGAATCGTACTCGACGGATCCTGGCTGAGATGCGGATGGCGGGCGCTGAATACTCGACGGCGTCCTACATCACCCACATCGTCAAGGGCCTGCCGCGCAGCTACAACCTCATGAAGAGGATGATGATGGTGCCCGGCACGCTTGAGTCCCTCGACGAGGACTCCATCACCAGCTACATCCTTCAAGACGAGGCGATGTAGGAGGCCGAACAGCCCACGGAGCTCCTTCCGCAAGTAAACTACGCTACACCGACGAAGCTGAATCAGCAACAAGGGCAGCGCGGGAAGCCGGGCGGAGGTGGTAGCAGAGGTGGGTGTCGACGAAGGACGTCGACGAGAAGAGGTCGACGCGGGATAAGGGCCGTGGAGGTGGTGGTCGACGGCGGGAGTGCTGGATCAGCCACGACCCTGACCACCTTTCCTACGAGTGCCCCGACCGCAATGAGGACGATACCAAGGGAGGCCGTGGCCGGTCGACCAGTCGTCGCCCCCGTCGAGATGCAAAGCCGCGCAAGGAGAAGCAGACGTCGAAGAAGACGCCGTCGACGAAGGACGTCGACAGCTCCAGCGGCAAGGGCCGAGGCGACGGGGAGGCGTCGTGCTCGATGGTCGGCGTGGTGGAGCCGATAATCTCGCTGGCACCGGAGGCTGGAGAGGACTTCCAGGCGGTGGCGGCAGCTGTGCAGGCCAACCCGATGGCGGTGCTGCTCGACAACGAGTGCTCCCACCACCTGATGGGGACGAAGGCGGTGTTCGTCGACATGGCGCCGACTGACAGAGTGAAGCACGTGCATGGATTCAACTGGGCGCTGCAGCCTGTCGAGGGTCGCGGAACCGTCGCTCTACAAGGGGAGGCCAGGAAGCAGGTCCTCATCCCCGACGTGCTCTACGTTCCGGGCGTACAGGTAAACCTGCTGGCAGTTGGCCAACTGAAGGAGAGCAGAGTGCAGCTGCACGGCGACGGCGACGAGATGCTGCTCGTCGCCGCGACTGGGGAGGTGCTCGGTCGAGCACGCTACACCGGACGAGTCCTATGCACCGACCTTCGCCCCTGCTCGATGCAGTCGCCGTTGACCAAGGTGGTAACTCTGCGGACGTTCATCTCGGCGACGAAGTCGACCCCTGACCGGTTGCATGCGAGGTTCGCGCACGTCGGCGTCGACTGGGGTTGTACTCTATACTGAGCACCTCACTGTAGCCTAGCAGAACTAAGTACTCCTTGCCACCTTCTGTCTCTTAACTTCATTACATCACGTCATAGTTTCGCTATTCATGAATTCGGCGTACCCTGTTTGACAACCCAGAAAAGTGTGGGGTGGGGCCAGTCTACTGTATGATAGGTTACAGAAGGTTGGCACTTGCTTTATCATGGGCAATGTATACAAGTGTACATAGCGCGTGGTACATGGAGGAAGCAATGAAAAAGTGTGCAAGGAAATTTTAGCAATAGCAAAAGGAACAAAAGAATGTCAGGTTGTATCTAACAGAAAGTGTAACGAACAGCAAAACTAGCCTCTTTGTGAGGTGCCAAAGCCTAACGGCTTGTATTTGTACTAACACCCCATGCACCCTAACACCCCATGCACGCATATGCCAACAGCCATGCAAGCAGCAACGAAGCAGATGCGGCGGCCCCCACAGGCACCCCTTACAGGCAGCCCCCAAAGGTGGTTGTTTAAACCAAGGGAATGGCAGGAGGGTAGTAGCTGCAGATATACGTGTACCCAACCCCCATGGCGTACGTGCAGGTGCGAGGGGAGGTATTATAGCAGGCGCTGTTCCAAGTGCTACATGTCGCGTTCCCCCCGCACGGGTAAGCACCGCAGCAGATGCAGTTGCTCATGCATGTGTTGTAGTTTTTAGTTTTGGCCGCGGCGGTACCGGCTGCAGTTTCCGCAGCTAGGTTGCACTCCCTCTCGCAAATAGTTTTCCGGTAGTTGCAGCAGGGCCCAAGCGTAGTAGTAGAGTTGTTGCCATCTCCTAAAGTGCAGTCTGGCCCCCCTAACCAGGCTGGATACGGGCAGACGGCTTGCGTGCAGCCGAACCCAGTGAGCGGGGTCAACCCCATGCGGCCAGGGCATGCGGCCCCACACTTGTCACACGGGCTATATTGGAAAACTGGAAGGGCGTAGTTCACGGCTGCATGGCAGTATGACGGGTACGAGACGAAATCTGATCCGCACACCGTGAGAGACGTTGCACAACCGCCGTCAATCATACCGATGCCGCCCATACAGGGGATGATGAGGTTCATGCCGATGGGGAGCGGTGCAGAGAGGTTGGTGAGGTAGTTTTGTGCAGCGATGGCAGCGGGGGTCACGGAGAGCTTTGTGCAGCGGGGGAGGTAGAGGGAGGAGATGGTGGAGAGAGTGTCATTCGCACGGACGGTGTAGATGGAGTAGTTGGCGTTTGGGTTTCGCTGCATGGTGGTGAGGATGGGTGAGTCAATGCAGACTTGCTGGCCCACCACCAGGTAGGGCGCCTGGCACTGCATGGGGGGGGGGGGGGGGGGGGGGGGGGGGAGGGGGGGGTGGCAAGGGAGAGGGAGGTAAGGAGGCTTGCAGTGATGGCTGGCTGTGACAGAGAGTGGCGTGTTGAGGCACAGAACGAGTGCAAGGACCCGGGCAGCAAAGGGGGGGAGGGCTAGTAAGGTGGTGAGGGTAGATGGAGACGTGTTATGGGGCGGTAGTGTTCAAGGAAGTCACCTGAACGCCGGGGTTGATGGCGAGGAACGTGGACATGCTGAGGGATGTGCTTGTATGGGGACGGTGTGGTGGTATGTGAGGCTTCAGAGACAGGAGTTACCTGAACGCCCAGGTTGATGGCTCACCTGAATGCCCGGGTTGATGGCTTGGAACATGGACATGGTGAGGTTGGCTGCATTCCAGATGGAGGGGCATGTGTCGCCCTGCATCACCCGGTACCGCCCCGTGCAGTTGATGGTCGTCTGCACACAGGCATCAGGGGGAAATACGGGGGGAGGACGCAACAGAGATGAGAAAGTGAAGAGGCAATACGCCCTCCCAGTACCACACCGTGCAGCTGATGCTCGCCTGCAAACGGCAAGTAGCAAGGAGCTATATGGAAGGAGAATCGCTAACAACCTGAAAGTGTGGAGCGTATTCTTTGTCCGTGCTTACCGCAGGTGATGTTGGCGCCACACAGACGTATGATCCCACTGCAAGATTGCTGTTACAGTTGACACCTGGGTTGAGCCTGCACGTGAGAAACAACATTATTTCAGCGAGAGCCTAAAGTGAGTAACCGCGAATATGCGGGAGGTGAGGGGGCGGTGAACCGGAGGGAGGGATTTATGAATGGGAAACAATGATGTATCGAGACTAAGGTGTAGCTTTGGGAGAGAAGAGGAAGCTGTAGCTAGGAGGTAATAAATAGACTCATGACCAATGGGAAGCATTCGAATACTCACGAGGCGAAAGTTGTAGTGTCGACAGAATATTTCAGGGCAACCGATGCGCACGTGTCTCCCATGACCACAGCGACGCTTTGCCCGCACTGTACAGCCGACGATGTTGACGATGCGGTCACCATTTGGAGGCAAATCTGCTCCGACTTGAACAAACGCTTGCACGATAAGCCAGGGTTGCTTGCCATAAGGGAAGTGAGAGATCCGTTGAAGAATGTGTTTGCCACAGAAGTGCAAGTGTCGGAAGATCGAATGATGTATGTGCGAGTGCAATATGAGGATAAGGAAGTAAGTGCTGCAGAGACTGTAAGTGCAATTCCAGGAGGGAGGTATTCTGTAGCGGAGCAGTTAATGAAAGTGTTCAGGTTTGTCAGCGTGGTGGTCGAAATCCCGAAAGCTGTCGCGACAAACGTGCAGTTGTCGCCAGGGCTGGTAACATAGGACTTCGCGAGTCCAGCCGCAGGCAGGCACGTTGGCGAACCATCGACAGCAGCGCCGATGGCGTAACCAGCAGAGCACGCGCACGTGTACGTCCCGTCACCCACATCCGTGCACGTTCCGCCGCCGCAGGGATTCACAGAAGCCGTCGTGCAGGGACTTCGCGGCACGCACTTGGACGTGGGCACTCCCAACACCTCGACCATATTCGCCATCGCGCTGCAGTTGCACCGCGGAATCCCGCCGCTGATGTAACAACTGCCCCCGCCGCACGGGTTGATCATCCCGACGCACGTCGTACTCAGCGTGGTCGTCTTGGTCGCAGACGAATCAGTGGTGGAACCAATGAGTAGCGAGGAAGAATCGGAGATCGTCGGATCGGTGATAGCTGCGATGGCGAAGTCTGTTGATGAAGAGAAGTCAGTCGACGAAGTAGTTGTGGTGGTGGTGGTGCTGATGCTGGTGGTTGAAAGGGAGAGGGTGGAGGAGAAGAGCGACGACGAGAGGTCGTCCACTTTGTTAATTTTCCACTTGCCGCGCTTGTCAGACGCAAAGCGCGCCGGCTGCTGCCCGGATGGGAAGTAGACGGGGTACATGGCAGGGGTTCTGCGCGGAAAGGAGGGGTGGCAAGAAGAGAGCAGAATCGGTGGACTGGTGGAGAAGAGAGCCGCATCGGACAAACGAACTTAGGCGAGAGGAGAGAAGAATCGCACAAACAACGTGTTTGGCACACAGGCAGGCCGGGAACGGGGGTGAAAGGCATCCAGAGGGGACTGCAGGGTCTGGAAGAAGACGCAAATGGGGCTCTCCTGCGTGTCGGCAGGAGATGGCCCGGGGGAGGCGCGAGAAGGGAGAGACCAGACAGACTCAACGACCCCACGCGAATCGAGTGGAATGCGTTTGAAGAGTCAAGGCAGATTCAATGGTCAAGAGCGAGTCGGGTAACGTACGATAGGATGCCGCATTTCCCGCGCACGTCGGGCGTCATGGCGAGGTACATGTAGCCGCGGTCGCCCCACGTGGCGTACCACGAGTTCTTGATGATCCAATAGCTGCCTTTGAGGTCCGGCCCCGTGTAGTTAAAGCCCACCACCACCACCGCGTGGTTCACGTCAGTCGTGCACAGCCCGTTGTAAATGTTCAGCACGCCATTGCTTGAGTAAGCCTGCACGTGGAGAGAGTTTGACGAGAGGGAAGGAAACGCGGGGAATCGGTGTTCGAGCTGGGTAACGCTATAAGTTGGGAAACATTGCGAGTGGGGAAACGCGGCAAATGTGAAGCTCTGTGAGCGGAGAAACGCGGGGAATCGAGAAACGGTGTGCGCAGAGAAACGCGAGGAATCGGGAAATGGTGGGAGTGGCGAAGCGCGGGGAGCGGGAGCAGGAGCGGGACGCAAGGAGCAGGAAGGCGTACGGTGAAGTCGGCGGCGGAGGCGCTGATGAAGGCGACGACGGGCTGCATGCTGACGGCCTTCATGAGCGCCATGGCGTTGAATGCCGGCACCAGCTCCCACCCCGTGATCTGTGCCACGGACGACATAGATGTGTCGAGCAGACACGTGGCGGAATCGTAGGCGAGGTAGGGGTAGTTGGCGTTGGACGTGATGCCGCCGTTGAAGAGCACGTAGGAGAAGGCCCACTCGGGCCACCCGCCCTGGCAGCACTGCTTCGTCGCGCAGTCGCACACCTGCTGTGGCGACAGATTCGTCCCGACACCGTTGTTGGCGATCGCCCACATTATGGCGATGGAATCGACGGCTGCGATCGCCCAGCAGCTTGAGCACTGCGAAGGGGTGGGAGGAAAATTAAGCAGCGAGGACGCTGACCAGGATATTGAAAGAACGACGACTCGAACCGGGAGCAACCAAGTAACACATCAGGTTGCTTCGAAGCCTCCTGATCTGGACGGGAGCGGCGAGTGCCTATCCTGGGGCAGACGGGGCTGAGCAGGCATAGTAGCAGTGACGTAACCAGGCGAGCGAGGGGCGAGCGGAGTACCCACCACGAACTGCGTCTGGATGGGCGTGATGGCGACGGTCTTCCGCCAGTCGACGACGGGCGGGGCCGCGACGCTCTCCCAGCGGTAGAACGACATGTTCACCACCGCCATGCTCGGCCCCGAGCTGAGCGGCGGCGCGGACATCCCAAGCTTCACTCCTGTGTCCAGCAGGACGCGCTCGCCGCGCCGACCGCCCACCATTTCGCCGCGCTCTGCTCCCAGAATGCGCTCTGCGTGCTGCCGCCTCTGGTCTTCCGGAAGTTCCAGGGTATTTTGCATAAAGATGTCATATTGAGACAAAGTTTGGACAGGCGCCCGGGCTTCCTCAAGTGGAGCCAACTCGGACGATGCGTCGACAGCCAGAAGTAGCAAGAGCACAACCGCGAGTTTTCCATTTTTCGTCTTCATTGTCAAAAATACGCACTCGGTGAGGACGATACTAGGCTATGTGGAAAACGCGAACGCCGTCTTCTGTCGTTACCGCCGCCTACGCTCAAATCCGTTTCTCTCTGGAATGAAACTGTCTCAAAAGCGCCAGAATCGGACTCAACGCAGTATCTACTGGGTTCACAAGCTCCCACACGAGCTTTACAGCATCCGATGCTCACGGAACCTACCATCTTGTTTACTTCACCTGAAATTGAGCTGCTGTGCCTTTGAACGCTAGCTTTGGATTGGGGACTGAAACACGCGACTGGGCTTGTGGCGATGGATGGACAGCTCGACTGGGCCTCTGGTTGCAGGTAAGGTTCCAGGGATTGCTACTGTGCGTCAGACCTGGAGCCTCAGGCTGAGGTAAGCACCAGACGCATCCTATTAAGAATTCACCATGAATTTTTGATTGAAACGGGCCCATTCATGACATGAGGGCGTGTAAAATTGTGACGACCAGATGCTACGGGCGTTTCTGGCGATTGCGAGGAATTAGGGTTACGCCGATGGGAGTAGTCACCCCGGTCTGACAGATTCTCCGTGGTAATTTAGGAACAGAGATTTACGCACCGCAATTTGGGACATGATTAAACTGATGCTCAGTGTGGAACCTTATTTTCCGTACCTAAACCCACTGCTCTGGTTAACTCTCTAGTCTAGGCTTCCGATCCCCGTATTCCACACCCCTTTCGAATGTTGTAAGGGATCGAAACATCTCCTTTTTAATTAAAGGGGGTGGTTCGGGGTGGGTGCTCCAAATGCTGACGATCTTTGTGGTGGGGCTTGCTTAAGTGTTACATATTTCGCACTTGCCAGCAACGCCCAGATGATCGACCTTTGCGTCTGGTCGTTACAATTCCACACGCCCTAATTTGCAAATTCTTCGTACGTCCTCCCGTCAATCCCAAGGAGGATGTTTTTCGGGAAACTATATTCCAGGTCCATACTTTCAGATTTCTCTCAAATTTAGTCCTAGGTTCAATCGAAAAGTACCACTTTCTGAAATTTTGTTCACGCGAGGCTCAAAGTATGTTCAAAACTGGTCCTGCTGGGCGAATTCTCGAAACGTGTCCAATTTTACTTGAATATTTTTCGACGGGGCAAGAAATAATAAAACGCCTCGGGAACTAGGGCCATTTGCGGGAGGGATCAACCCTGAAACACCAAGCGGGTCCCCGTGTTTAGGGTTGGTCCCTCCCGAAGGTGTGTCCTGGTCACCCTAAGGGCTTTATTTTGTTTGCCCGCGACAGAAATTGCTAATAGAAATAGGACACGTGTCAAAAAAAATCGCCCCGCAGGACCAGTTTTGAACATAATTTGGGATCGTGTGAGAAAACTTCTAGAAAGCTGTACTTTTTGAGTAGAATTAGGCCTAAATTTGAGAGAGTTTTGAAACTATGGAGCTGGGATATACTCTCCCATATTTTTCACATCTATGACTTCGTGCAATGGTCTGAAACGGAGGGAGGAAGAGCTGGGTGGGGTAGGTTGGGTGGCGAGGGGGGGAGGGGGGAACAAGAAAGGAGGGGGCGACATGTCGACAAGTTATCCAAACAGCCCAGCTCACAGCAAGCCGACAAGGGAGGGAAACATGAGGGTGAATCTTGGTGTAGTGCTGGAGTCGCCACATTCAACCGAATGAAATACCTCACCGGACAGGCGAACGTTGTAGGTTGTCTGGTCGAGTCGAACCACCTGCCCTACTGAATTGTTCAGCAACCACGTAGCTGTCACCACACCCGCTGCTTCTGTCGCGTAGTAATCCCACAGTTCCGCATATCACCAGTCATAAAACTATCGCAGCAAAAATATATTTCTGTCATGTTACGGGTGCAATGAAACTAGGTAGCTAGAATTGCACTAAGTGGGTCAAAAGTATAGAGTATGAGCGAAGGTATGACCGAATATGTAAGGAATTTTTCCGGATTCCTTACTGGGTCACACTGTACGCGTACAACCCCGGTTTTCGGAAAACCAGGCTCGGACCGCCGACCTCGCCTTCCGAACTACCACCGCGTCGCCTTCGGGTTTTCCAACCCCGAACCTGCACCCAACCATCTCGCGACCCCGAGACCTCGGCCTACCTAGCTTCGCTATATTAGTCCTAGGCCTCGTTGTGTTCTGAGAAGTTGTAATCACTTCCGCATTATTGATTTATGCGCACTCTTCCTTTCACAACTCATAACACTTGGTATCAGAGTCTGTCAGAATGTTATTCTCTAGCCTGTAGTGAGGTGCTCTATAGCGAGTACAACCCATCTAGGGTTTGCTATATGTATCCTCATTGCTGCTAGTGAAACCCTCCTCTCTTCTTCATTCATCGTTCTTCACATGCTATCAAAGTTTCTACGCTCCTGGCCTGTTTGCCCACTTAACTGCTTCCGCTGCTACTCCGTGTGCTACTCTTAGCGGCCCCGTCGCCGCCCTTCTCGGCCCCTCGCGGCCCCTTCGCGGCCCCGTTGCCGCCCTTCCAGGCCCCTCGCGGCCCCTTCGCGGCCCCGTTGCCGCCCTTCCAGGCCCCTCGCGGCCCCTTCGCGGCCCCGTCGCCGCCCCTACCGGCCCCGTCGCCGCCCTTCTAGGCCCCTTACAGCCCCTTCGCGGCCCCGTCGCCGCCCTTCCAGGCCCCTCGCGACCCCTTCGCGGCCCCGTCGCCGCCCCTAGCGATCCCGTCGCCGCCCCTAGCGGTCCCGTCGCCGCCCCTAGCGGCCCCGTCGCCGCCCTTCGCGGCCACGTCACCACCCTTCGCGGCCCCGTCGCCACCCCTAGCGGCCCCGTAGCTGCTCTTCGCGGCCCCGTCGCCGCCTCTAGCGGCACCGTCGCCACCTCTACCGGCCCCGTCACCGCCCCTATCGACCCTGTCGCGGCCTTGTCGTGGCCTTGCCCCGACCCTGTCGCGGCCCTGCCCCAGCCCTGCCCCGACCCTGCCCCGGCTATGCTCCGTCGCCTGGCGTGGCGCATCGGGGACCCGTGCACCCCCCCCCCCCCCCTCTTTTCCCATCGCCCGCCGCGGCTCCCTGGGGGGCCGCGACCCGGAGGGGGGGGCGAGCGTCACCCCTTCTGCCGCCTGCTTTGGCGCCCTGGGAGGCCGCGCGTCGCCCCCCCCCCCCCCCCCGTAACCTCCCTACCCGCCATCCCGTCCTGCCCTGTGTTAGGGTTTGGGGGTGGCGAGAAGGGGGTGGCGGGTGTGTGGTCTCCCCTGCTCTTCCTCCTCCTCTGTCTCCCGCTGCTGCAGCTGCCACTTAGGGGGGTGGGTGTGTGGGAGTCGACGGAGTGGTGCAAGGGGGTGGGGTGTAAGTGAACCTAGGGTGCAGCAAGGGGTGTGTGAAAAGGGGGGTGACGTGGGAGTGGAGCTAGGGTTTGAGCAGGGGGTGTGTGAGAGGGGCATTGGGCAGTTGGGGGAGGTTGAGTGGAGGCAGCAGTCTTGTCGCCAGCAGCACCAGCAGTACGGAGGCTACAATATCCGGTAGTCGCCAGTCGCCTGTGGGTCAGTTGCTCCGGTCTGGAGGCTGCAATCTCCGCGGAGCCAGCTACTCCTGTAGTCCAGGCCTTTGCTTCAGTAGCCACTGAGCCAGCAGCTCCTGTGTGTCTGTAGCTTTAGTAGTCCCCTCCAATCTTCTCTCCCCCACAGTCTTTCCTCCTCCTCAGTTGCCCTCTGTGATTAGCTCTAGCTTTGCTTACCTTTGTGAACTCCTGCTCTATACCTGCTTGCTCATTGTACTGATTACACCCCACGTTGGCTATGGGGGTGTGTCAGAATGTTCTTCTCAAGCCTGTAGTGGGGTGCTCTATAGCGAGTACAACCCATCTAGGGTTTGCTATATGTATCCTCATTGCTGCTAGTGAAACCCTCCTCTCTTCTTCTTCTCATTCCTCAATTTTCACAGAGCCTGCTTTCCTAGGTTACCCTCGTGTTTCCGGGGTAGTTTGTAGAAGGGGAGCGATAGACTTGGTGGGCTGTAAAGCGGTCGGCCCGTGGAATAGATCCGATTATTCCACTCCGACTACGATAGCATTGACACCTTCACCGAAGTCAGAAAAATCGCGAGCCAAACACTGCTGGTTCGACGAAGCCTGAGGCACATGGAGCAAGCCGAGTTTAACGAGTTCATGCAACTGTTCCGTGCGATGCAGGCCAACTTGCAGGGTATGACTGCAGAGATGGAGCGTCTACGGAAGGAAAACGCCGATCTACACCAGGCGCGTGGTGAAGCGCGCCAGGAGTCGCCTGTCGTGGACGACGCAAGTAGCAGCACTGCACCAGATGAGCGGGTCTGGAGCAAGCTAGAAGGCGAGATAGATGCGGCCGAGGCGAGGCAGGCGCAACGGCAGCAGTCACCACAACAGTCGCATGCAGCCCCGACACGTGCAGCAGTGACGACGACGGCGACGCCAACAGCGATGCCAACAGTCCCAGTGGCAGCAACGACTTTGACAACTGTTAAAATCAAGCCGACGAACCCGCCCCCGTTTAACCCAAGTGACAAGTTCGTCACTGTTTCTGCATGGTTGTTTGGCATAAAGGCATTTTTCAATGGTGCCATGATTTATGACGATGCCACCCGCATTAATTTCGCAGTTTCACTGTTGCGAGGACCTGCGCTGGAGTGGTGGAGGCGAACGCTGCAAGACGAAGGGACTTCTGCAGGAATAGCACGTGCGAACGACGGGACTTCGACACCTGTCAAGCATCGAGCAGCATCAATTTTTGGGACAGCTACGATACGCACATGGAGGGAGTGGGGCGCCGCCTTGCGAACCAGGTTCGAGCACATATCCGCCTCGGACTCTGCTCGCATGAAGCTGCGTGCCTGGAAGCAGCTTATTTCAGTCCAAGACTATACCAGCAC